TGTGAGGCATAGACCACATAGTAACCCATAAGCTCCCATTCGCAAAGACATGCTCCCCCGTGCGCTAGATGACTCATCCAAGTGCCTTTCCCATATATGTTTTGCGCACCTGTGCCTTGAAATCCGCACCTTCTGAAATTCCCCAAGGCACGGCAGTGGGCTATAGCATGAAGAACACTGAGAGCTTGGTGTCCACACAGACGGATCACATGGCATACAATTCGAAACTGCATCTCCGTGGATACCGGGAAAACTCGCCGTCAACAGAAAAAAGTTGACACTATCTCCGAACTGGTTGGCATGCCGCAGGTGGTGGATAGAGATCATGGCGATGGTGCAAATTGCATACGCACTCCACCACATGATATCAATGAAGACAGGAAATAGACACATTCCCATGTAGAATGTTAAATATTGCCGTGGAGCCTTGCGAATCACTATCGCGTTGCGATGCTGACACAGCAATAACGTACTGCCACTTGACACTGCAAGGAAATACGCATTATACACTTGATGTACCAGTGCAAGAATGCCTAAAATAAACGTACACGACCATCAATCCACAAAACATATCCGATTTATCAACATCAATAAACAATATACAAAACATTGTTTGGGGAAACTTCCGTGCTGTTCATTTTGATGCAACACCGTAGTGGCAACACAATAAAAGGTGTACTATTTCCTACTCTGAACAAGTACGGATCGTCGCTTTTTGTCGACGCGATTGACTCTGTTCACCCCTGGTGACCAGAGTATCATGTGTCATAGAATGGCAACGAGCCACACACCCTCTGCTAAGAACGGGCTGCCTTGCACGGAAACAACTCCACAGAAGTCCGCACCTGCGCCATCGGCAGGAGTCGGGAGGCCCATGTGCATGTCCAAAAGCATCATCATGTCCGCCCCAAGTGGGTTTTCTTCAATGAGCTTCTGTCTGCGCTCCTCAACCTGCTTCAGGAAGGCGTACTCCTCCAAGATTTGCACAAGGTTGGTCTCGGACACGTCCAGGTCATCAACCTTCTCCAGCTCCTTCCTTGCTTCATGCTCTAGGGCCTGAATCCACAACAAGGACTGCCTACATTATTGAAATGAGTGAATGCAGACCAAAGAACTGGCGTTTCCAACCGCTTCAGCCAAACGTGCTCCTGGGCAACTCCCGCTTGCCTTTGATGGGTACTGGAATTGCCGGCCTGAGTGACTTGAATCAACATTTAAAACAGCGGTGTGCATGGGGTGCACCCATCGTACCGTTGTTTGGAAAAAGAACAGAACTTGGTGCATTCTGGTGTAGAAGCCAAATGGATAGAATGGACATCTATGCCACAATATCATGTCACCATCCACTTGTGCTGCCATCTTCAGAACCCCTCAGCCCAAATGCCAAAACATGAGAAAGCGAAGGAGCATGGATGACAACTATGGTGATCTGGATGCACCTGCCAGTTCTCTTTCGGGCTGTGCATCGACCAGCAACCTTGCCTTGAGCTGCACTTACAGAAGATGAATCTGCATTTCATCTGCAGTGGCTGCAAAATTTTCTTGTGAGCATCAACTTATCAGTTAGTCTGTTCAGCTATTTGTTCAACTTCTCCATAAGTTAATTCAATCTGCATTGAAGTTTGTCAGTATTGGCATTTATTCCTGTGCTCACTCATTGCCCTCAACAATGAGCAGTACCTGCCAACAATCTAAAGGTGAAAAGATGCCATGGGCCACTCACACACCAATTTCCTGAAAACAGCCAGCAAATTCTGCAGCAGAACTTCAGAAACTGCAACACATCGTCTTGCATTGTCGTGCAACACATCGACTTGGATCACTATTGCATCCTATGTTCAACATCCTGGACACACAAAATTTTCCAGGCATGCAGGAATTATGCACATCGTGGACTTGGTCTAGGATGTCGAAAGCCAGATTCTGGCCCTGTGATGCCGTGCTGTGCACAGCATGTGCTCCAGTGCAAATCCCTGGCAAGCAATGCCAAGCCCAGAAAGGGTGCCATGTTAAGTTTCAGGACAGGTTTGTTTTGGTGTGAGCAAATTCAGCAACATCGCTGCAAGGACGTTGTGACTTGCACAGCAAGAGGAATCGTATTCGATGCACATGAGCCAAAAATGACCATCATTGAGACACACCTTGGCACTGTTTTTGAACCCATTGCTTTCCAAGAAGTGCTTCACGACCAACACAACAGGATCAATGTCTAGCTGCGGCTGCAGCTGCTGTGCCGGCTCCTCCGGTGCCGCATCCTGCGGCACGCTGGCTTGGGTGACAGGAGAGCTGTGCAGCAACCCAGGATGAGGCGCATGTCTGGGTGCAGGCATGGCAGAATGTAGGCCTGGCTGTGTGAATCCTTGTCCTGCCCTTGAACTTTGCATTTTCCTCCCCTAGAATGCATACCTAACAGCACATCTTTAGGATCTTGGAATCTTCTGAGGGTGAGCATTTTCCAACTATAGCTTGTCAGTGCACACATTGCCTACAGCGTCTCATTGGGTGCCTGGGTGTGATTTCTCTATGGGTAAACCGCTGAAAAATTCTGGACACACACAGTGCAACAGAATGACACCTTTGTGAACTGACACAGTGGCAACAGTGTTGAGCGCAGAACTGCTTCAGAAAAATAGAAGTGGGTGTGTTGTGAACAGATGCAGATGATGGGGTTACAGTCTAAAAAACATCCCACAGGGGCATGGGATTGATCTTTCCATTCATGTCCCAGGACAAGGACAACATGAGCTAGCCCCAAGAATCAAAACAGCCTAACCATGATGTGACAATGCTAGCCAACGCAGCGTAAACCAAACAATAGGTTGGTGTAAAACTAGGGAGGCAAATTATGAAGCAGTCCAAGTCAGCAGTGATAGATTGGGAATCATGAATGTACATGGTGATGGAGTGGGTGCGGGGCTGTGCACAATTTGCAATATGTCACCACTGATGGTAAGAATGTATAGTCCAGTGCGAGACATGTTGTCACCTGCGCAAAGCACATTTGCAAGCAGGGATGATCGTAACCAGCACAAGACAAATACCGCCACTGTAAGTCATCGAAGCACCAGATGTGGTGCCCTCTAATGGCCTTGAGGGTGCAATGGCAGTGTGTGTGACAATTTTGGACACCCGGATCAAAAGAATCCCCTTTTGTGCGATTTCTTTGCTGTGCTTGCCAACACACCTGGCCTGGGGGCGGGGCTGTTGAGGAGTCTGCCTTCTTCACAGAGGCCTTGCCAGAGTGCACAGCATGGGACGCACCACTGGCTGCAGCCTTGGTCCAACCTCCCTTCCTGGAGCCAGTCGCAGCTTCCACCACAGCGGACGCCAGCCTTGACAAGCGTTGTGTCCTGGAGAGGAACCAAGGCAGTGAAGCAACGGCAAGCCACCAGAACAACTGTTTGCATTGACAAAGGCCTCTGCCAGAGACATTGCCACCGCCTGAAATGGTGGACCAAACCATCAGACCCCATCAGAGCCCATGTGAATTGAAACAGGGCGCTTCAAATCCAGAGGATGGAGTTGTTCAATTCCCCAAGGTTGGGGGGCCCTGCACCCATTCTTCAATCAGGAAGAGCACTAAAAACAACAGGAAGCGCACTATCCTGGTTCAGATTGTGCGGCAACCCGCCAGTCGCCCCTTTTGACCCGCTAATGCGTCAAGTATGGCCAGCATCTGCGCACAACAGCTTCATGCAATTCGGGATGTGCACGGACCGATGTGCCGTGGCGGGATTTGCTGGGATGTGCCGTGACGGGCGCCGACACAGCCAATCACAGCGATCGGGCTGCCTTACGAGAAGCCTGGAAGTTCAATAAGCGCGAAGGGAGGACAGCATTCATCCCAGGCACAGATGAGAGCCTGCGAGATCGTTCCCAGCGTCCGTGAGAGTCTGAAGGGTCGCGCTTCGCGGACTGCGTACCTGCTCATGCTCGTCATGTTGGACAGCACGAACGCAAGACTCCACGCCTCTCGCGCGCCCTGACGACAATAGAGTCGCTTGACCGACGCGAAGTGGACGCCTTGAGCCAACCCCGCCTGCTGTTGCGCCCACCGCTGGGCGTCAAAGGCGCGGGTTCCCGCGCGCGTCAACCGGGGACAACAGCTGGGAGTGCGTGTCGATGTATGCGCAGCACAGTGTCAGCCACCCGGATCGTGTCCAACAAGGTTGCACATACGGCGCAATGGGACGCTGCTTCCTCGCCCACTGCGTCAATTTGGCGGTGAGGGAGGCAAGAAGATTAAATCGACGAAGTGCCAAGTCAATTGCGACAGTACAAAATCATACTAGCATTGAATTAACCTAAACTGAAATTGGACTCTACACTGCGTTGCCCTCGAGGTTGCTGCGTAGCCTCGCTGTTTTTCCTCGGCATGACGCCGAAGAACGTCTCCGGCTCAAGAGCCCAATGGCGCTCCCTTTCACAGCTGCCACTATGTCGACCCCCCAGAAGCCGCCACAAATCCAACCCTGGTGAAATTGCCCTGCGTCACCAGTTGCTCCGGATGCAGCGAAAAAGGCAACTTCTTCTCAACCTTGAAACTTTGAAAAAGGCAAAAAGGTAAAAACGATCTTAGTAAGAAAGGTAAAATGTCTTTACAACTTAAGTGGTAAGAATGGTAAAAAACGATAAAATACAAGGTAAGGGAAGACACCATTTTGATTTTTGTACGCTTAACGTCAACTTGACGGTGGAGTGGGGTGGGGGGGGAAGCTATTGATGCTAAGAGATTATTCTATTGCACTATAATAAATTAAGGTGGGAAGATGTACAAAAACGCGGCTGATCAGCAGCAAATAGCTCATAACTTATTGCAAAACCTCCCTCAAACTTTGAATCATCCAGGTAGTCCTTAGAATGGATCAATTTCCATCCTTTCTGGGCTGCTCTCATCACCCATCATCGCTGTTGGCGTCCCATTTGTCAAATCACGGCAGTCACTACAATTGTGACTGGTTCTTCATTAAAACTGTTTTTTGAAGTTATATGGCATGGTCAGGTAATGTCCCTGAGTCAACCTTGAATCGGAATAAGGATTGACACTAAGGAGGGGGAAGGGGGGTGTTTGAGCCTAATCAAAATAGGGCCTTTCCTAAAACATGAGAAAAGGCAAAAATGCAACTCCTTTTGCAACTGGAGAAGGGGAAGCGAAGCTGGCTGCGGCAGAACTGTTGGGCGTGCCTCCGCCTTTTTTCTCCTCCCCAGCTCGCCCTCTCCCTCTCCCCCCCTCTCCATCGCCCCCATGGCGGAGGCCAAGCCGGGCCCGAAGCTCAGCGGGGGCAGCGACGGCACGCTGGGCGACTTCGCTCGCCTCGGCGTGCTGACCGTCAGCGACCGTGCCAGCGCGGGCGTGTACGCCGACGAGAGCGGCCCCGCGATCCTGGGGTTCTTCGACGAGGCGGTGGCCTCGCGGTGGGAGGCGGAGTACGTGATCGTGCCCGACGAGCGGTCGCAGATCGAGGCGGCGATCATTGACATGGTGGGGCGGATGCGCAGTGGCGGGGATGCGCAATTGCGGGGTATGAAACTCTGAAAATGAGGAGGCCGGAACAGCGACTGCGTGATTTCGAAACTGTGAAAAGAAGAGGCGTGATCTGCTATGTTACGGTTTCGAAATTGTGAAGAAGTAGCGATGGAGTGCAATTGCATGGTCTGAAACAGTGAGGCGGGATCTGCAATTGCATGGCTTGAAAACTATGGAAAAGAGGCGTGACCTGCAGTTCCACGGTTTCGAATTTGTGAATAGGCAGCGATGGAGTCCAAAACCATTGCATGGTTTGAAACTGTGGAAACAAGAGGCGGGATCTGCAAATGCAGGGTTTCGAAACTGTGAAAGGAAGAGGCGTGATGCGCAATTGCACAGTTTCCAAATTCTGAAAAAGAGGCGATGGAATGGAATTCTTGGGCTGGTTGGTGTGCAGTGGGAGAGGGATGTGCATGCTTGGGTGACATGTTGGTGGTCAACGTGGAACTTCAACGCTTGGTTCAGCGAGTGGGAATGTCGTAGTGTGGTGTGTTGGCATGATTTGGAGGGGGAATGGGGCTGAATTCCAGTGAGTGGAGAGGGCCGCTGGCGAAAGTCGCTGATGGCAGTTAAAAAGGGCACACGATTCTCGCTGGGAGATTTGGGCGCATCGTGATGCGATGGTGCATGAGTAGGATGACAATTGTACACATTGAGAGCCGCCACCAGCATTATACACACAGATTCAGCGCTGTTAGTGCTTGTTTCATTCGCATTGACTGTATTGATCTGTACTTGACACCCACTCTCATATGGTCCATATTGGCTTTTAGTCTTTCTTCACAACCTCAACTGTATGGTCGTTAAGCACCACTGTTTCCACTATCGCAGAATTGCATATCCTGTGAATTGCGCAAAGCCGGCAGACGCTTCAGATCCTCCTTATGCAACACAATATGCAAGGGAACTTTGACTGTGCACTTCCATCCTGGAACAATGCGACCAGTGGAAGAGCTGGCTGTATTCAACCAATCCACTGTTGCGAATGAATCAATAGTTGATCCATGCCCACTTCACCTGCCATCCGCTCCCCAATCCCTTGTTGGTCCTTGTCCACCCCAATCCCCAACCCTCAACAACAAGTGCAAAAACACATGGGAGGTCATGCACAGGCCTTCTTCATCTAAATAGAACACCAGTGGCAACTCTCAGGGTGTCAAATGTGTGCATAGGAGTTCTGAGCAGGGGAACAAGTCTCACTGGAAACAATTCACTGTTGTGACAGTGCCAGACTTTGCCTCTGGGGTGCAATGACAGTCCTTTGGCTTGTCTTTGTCAACTGCCACTGCACACCTAGCAACAAGAGACTCAAGATGTTGGCGAGCTGTGGCAGTGCAAGATGACAGGAATGAAGCTGGGCTGACCCAGAAAAGCACTAGAGATGTCTAAACAACGAAATCCAAGATAATGGGGAATGAAAGCTACATGCCACCTCAATGTTGGAAGACAGAAATCGCTGCGTTGGGGACAGCGCAGACAATGCGAACAAATGTGGCAGGGGCAAGGTATGGTTTTGCTCAACAGCACACTGATTGGTGCCCTGTGCAGGTGGATGAACGCGGCTGCTGCCTGGTGGTAACGACTGGCGGCACAGGACCCGCCCCCCGAGATGTGACCCCAGAGGCAACGGAAGCAGTCTGCGAACGCATGATGCCGGGATATGGAGAGCAGATGCGGGCCATCAGCCTCAAGTACGTGCCAACAGCTGTGCTGTCAAGGCAAACAGCTGGCATACGAGGCAAGGCCTTTGTGATAAATCTGCCAGGGAAACCTAAGTCGATACGAGAGACCCTGGACGAGGTGTTCCGGTCGATTCCTTATTGTGTGGATCTCATCGGGGGACCATACATCGAGACTCGAACTGATGTTGTTAATGCTTTCAGGCCACCAAAAGACCGGCGGGCATGACGATGCCAGTGTCCAGTGTTTCTCTGGTGTATTCCACCAACGTTTGCCTGGTGAGAATGTAAATTGGCACCGGGGGTGGGTGGGTGGATGTGGGAAAGCAACAATTGCATCATGTTCTGGTGCTGCTGAAGGTCTTTAAGGGCGGAGTGCTTGATGGAAAATTATAGTGAATTAGGAGCACATGGAAAACAGAGTTGGCCATGTTATTGAATCGGCACCTTATTGGCGACATTGTTGTTCAATGCAGCCCATGCAATTCGCACTTGCAGTTTGCCAAAGAACACGAGCTCGAGCGCAATTGAAACGGGGAGGAACATCCAACATATTCCGATTGGCGGCTAAGACTGGACTTGGCTGGGAATGTCGGAATAGATCTTCTCATGAACCTGCCTGGTCTATTGCGGATGACGTGACACGCATGGTGGGGATCAGGGGCGCACAGCCTCCGGCAGCGGGCACATGTGTGAGCCACCAGCTAGAGTCCATCAAACATGCGGTTCAAGAGGGCATGCTGCCTGAGCACCAGCGATGACGACAAGGCATGCACTGCCAAAAGGGAACACATGACGTTATGCAGTCAAGGTGTGTGATAAAGGGGCTGACTTCAAGGATTTGTCGATTGTAACGCCAAAGCCACGGAAATTGACGGCGACGACCACAAGGTTCTGGATCACAATATGTAATGTGATGTGGTGTAATGTGATACTTTGGAATCGAAGGAACACAAATACAATAGAAAGGGGTCTGGGGGCCTCCTAAATTCAGCTTGAAATGGGGCAATCAAAGGCGCGTGTGTCAGAACTGTCCAGGCTATTTGACGCTTCAACTTTGGCGCCCATGTCACCAGTGTGTTTCCTCGTTGAGGTGTTGCCAAACACTGTCCGAATTGTGGTTGTTTACTCAGAATGCCCGATTTAAGGCGAACAAGGGCGGATTCGGATTGCCGATTTTCGCACAGGCACAGTTCGATCGCATTTTCCAATAATGTAAATGGATAATGAGCACAACGATTTGAAGTCAGGGGGCGGTGGCAAGCAAGATGAAACGGGGGACAAAGTACTTAAGTTTAATACGCTGAAGCTGAAGTAAATGATGACATGCACAGTATAGCTGCGTTGGCTGGATGCGGCAGTCTCGTTGAAAGGACTTGTCATGTGGGTGTTATGCGATTCAAGAGTTTCGACGTTGTGGGTGCAGCAGTGGAACGGTCGGCGCATGAGGCATGGACTCCATGCCATGGAGCTGGTTGCAGAACCTGGACTGTGTTGAGTCATGGCTGTGTGAAGGCGGTGTGATTGTGATTCATCCAAGTTTCAGTGTAACCTGTGGCCTCACATGTATCTTTCGAGTGTGGTTGCTCAGAAAATGCCCTGATGGGCAGTGATTGAGTGCGGAGACATGATGGCAAGGGATGTCCCATCAAGGTATTACATACACGTTTCTGGGTATCCTAAACAGTATTTTCAGATGCCGATCATCACTTCCATGCAGTGACACCTTGGCTGTTAGGTGCTCGCGCAGCTGCCTTTTGATTTGATGGCCAGTACCACGTTAATGAAAGATCCAGTTTAATGAACGTCTGCCGCGACTTAGGGGCTGCCTCAGAATCAGCCACAGCCTTGAACCATTGACGAAGCTACCGGGCGGAGCACGTGGGAACCTCTGGTTGCGAGTAGTGATAGACGCCATTATCTAGTTGCAATGGGCTACTCCCCGGTTCGAGCAGGACTCTTGAAGATTTGTGAAGACATCGACGAAGCTGATTTAACCAAAACGCAGCGCGCCCAGTAAGCGGGCGCACTTTGGCTTGGAACGAGCTGGAGACTTTGGGGGACTTATGTGACACCAAGGCGGTAGTGGGCTATGCACCTTGCCCTTGGTCGCTCGTCGCACGTTGCAACGAAGAAAGCACATGGAACTCTTGGGGATCATGGGCGCACCGCGCCAACATCGATGGTTTTCAACTTGCCCGTGTTGAGCTCAGCTTTGGATTGACAGGACTTGGCCCCTGTTCCCATCCTCTTTCCCCACAAGTTGTCAACTTTGCAGCAGTTGCATGCTGAGAGTTGCCGTATCATGATGAATGCACAACAATGTAGGGCAGTGACCAGTTTGGGGTGGGGCTGATCGTGCTTGTTCCCACTGAGCAATAACGAACTGGACGAATGAACCTCTGTTTGTACTGCTTCAACGCTGGACAAGCACCACAACTGCCCCTGCGAGTGCTAGGTGATGGTGCGCTGGTGATCTCTCCAGCCCGCTGCACGGATCCCACCCCATCCCTCTCAGCTATTTCTTCGATCTGCAAATTCATCTCAATAGTGATCTATTGTACACGCATGGTGCTCATTTGCACCTTGAGGCCCTGTTGGCCCATCCCACTGATAACCCATCTTGGCGATAACCCACTGATAACCCATCTTGGCGATAACCAACTGATAACCCATTCCTGTAACGTGACACAAAACGCCACCACCAGCCACACATCCCATGCTTCATTTGCGCCTGGCCAATCCTCAGCAAAACCCTTCCATACGAGCAATTTCCATTGCGCTGGAACTAGGAAGAAGCAAACCCAAACAACAAATGAAAGATTGCCCGCATCCCACTTTCAAAGCACGCGCCCATTCTATGACATGAGACTGTCAACGAGAAACCTTGCAGCTATGTAGGGGAAAAGTACCCTGTGCTTGTCTGACTGACTCCTACAAGAACATCAAAAGTGCTGCAACCATCTATGGTCGCATCCTGACGCAGCCCAAGAGTGTCATGGGTGCAGACTCACAGCACACAGAAGCCACAAATCACCAAACAGGTTAACTGGGCAGCGGATGAGGAAGAACGAAAGCCAGGTGTTGATAGCCGATCTCCTTTCCAGAATGGTTGTAGATGCTGAGTCTGTCACGTGTTCATCAAGTCTCTCACATTCGGAAATATCGGTTCACGCTGGTGCCCTGCCACAATTGACCAGAATGATAAGACAGAGCCACAACACAGCCTACAATGCCATGATCTGGCATTCATGTACAATGCAGCTGCCTGCTTCACCCTTCCTTTGACCTCTGCCAGTTCACCAGTTTGCAATGCACTGAACAAATAGAGCACAGACACAGCCTAGCTCACAGTGCCCTGGTGACTGCATCGCTGGGACTCAATTTGTGAGTTGAACGCAACCAAACAATGCACAATAATACCATTTGCCATCTGTGCACTAGGCACTTGAGCACATCGATGCCACAGGCAGTAAACGGCAATCTTATCAGCGCAAGCAAAAACTGATGGTGGCTGAAGCCTACACTATCTCATCATCCTTAAAATCTCTGTGCGAATATTCTGCAACGCCAGGCCATGGTGTCCTCAGAAGAAAGAGTATCACAATGGGAGCATGTGCCTTTTCCATGTGCGCAAAGAACAGCAAAGACGCGGAGATGCAACCTATGTAGCAAGTGCACCACTGTACAGCTTCATTACTGCACTGCAGCAAAACAGAGGGATGTGTGGTGTGAAGCATGTTCAGCAATTCTCCTCACCAGCATGCTCCAGCGTTTCCAGGCCCACCGTTGTCTTACTTCTCATCGTCGGAACATCCCTGGGGGTCTGCAGCATCTTGGAAACTCTGCTCACCAGCATGCTCTGCCATATTCCCACCCAGTGTGGCACTGCACAACTGATCAACGTGAAAGCCCCTCGGCAGCCCAGTTCCACAGCGCTCATACTCATCAGATCAATTCCAAGTGTTGCAAGCAGTCTGTCCAGCTGTGTGGCGATTCCAAGGCTGTCCTCCAAAGTCCAAAACTGAACACTTGGTAGGATGTCACCTCCAGTTGCGAGCCAATCTTGCGAACACTGGCCTGTGATCTTTTGGCTGGGCATACCAGACCAACCATTACAACATGAGAGCCGGGGTCATATGCCCTAGGCACATGCAAGCATCAAGCCAGCATCTGTTCAGCACCTCGCAACGATGAAGACCACTGGCAGAATCCCCTCAACGATCCTGCATCCCAAACAAGCAAGGAATCCCACAAGACAACAGGAAACCTGTTTCAAAAAAAAAGAAAAAAACGTTGGTACAAACTGAAGCTGCATTCCAGCAGCAGCTGTCCTATCAGCTATGCTTCGGCGTCGCTGCCCTGTGCAGCTTCCACAGCACTGTGTTCCCCAGGGAGTCGATGCTCTGCCCCCCCTCAAGTGCAAGACCATGGTTGACCTGGCTGGCAATGAGCGACAGTAGGTCCGGGTGCCTACGGACGACATCCTCTCGGTCCAAGCGCTGGCTTAGCTGTTGAATGAGAACCAAAGGGAAGCCTGTCAGCTGGAATGTTTTATGAACAAACTGAAAGAACCACAAAGTAAACAAAGCACTATGGGGAAAATGATGTGAACAAAGCTGACATGACGTTCGAGATAATATCTGCTTGGTCTATGCTAACCCACATTGCCTTGAAGGAGTAAGGGACAGCATTTAGTTGACTGGTGAATGTGCTGATCGACAAGTCGCATATTTGGGACTGACGACGCAATCCCAGCGTACGTTAGGTGCATTTAGGAAATAAATTTTCGCTGTTCCATCTAAGGCAGTGTCAGCAAGAAGATTGAATAGCAAACCCCTTGCACTGAGTTCTGGTGAATATGACAAATCACCACCCTTGCACACTGCCTTGCACCAACAGTCTTTGTTTCTGGTGTGAGCCCCATTCTGTTGCATTGTGCTTGTGTCTGAACGTTGATATTCACAGTGATTTGCACAACACAATTTGCAAGTCACACAACATACAACTTGCACAACCTCTGTCATTCACTGCATGAATAAGCATGTCGAACACACTGAACCTAAACCATGAGCACCAACAGATGACAGCCCCAACATCCCAGCTGCATCGGTTGCATATGAGCATTAAGATTATTGGTTGCTGCACTGCATTTTGCTAGCATGATCAGATTGCCCTACATCCCCTTATGCGGCAAGGGAACTGACTGGTACTGTCCTGATATCAATGCAGTCAGCAAAGCTTTTAGCTCAGCCAGGCCAGAAGACTGACTACACACACAACAGTGAACAAGTTGCTTGTCAACACACGATTCACACCTTTCCTAATGCAGGACAGTTGCAGTGTAGGCAACCCAACTGGCTGCTCAACTCTAAACTAGCCATAACTGAGTGTGGCAGCGGTTCCCCTGCTTTGCAGACAAGACAACAAATATTCACTAATTCTCACACAAGAGCCAAACAGAGGCTACACAGGTTTCCCCTGTGGTCACCCTCTCTGCAGCTCTCAATTCAACCTGTATCGGCACCCCCAACATGCCTCAGGAAAGGGAGACAAATCCGCACAACTACAACCCACCCCATGGGAATGTTAGGCGGCCCCTTTTACTGCTGTGTTTTTGTCCCATTCCGCTCCAGGGCCTGTGAAGAACAGTTGATTGCGAGACAAGGAGGCACGTTCAAGGGTGTACAATGGGAAATATTGAGCAGCTCGAGTTCTGTTTCTGGATGGACAAGTTGATGCACCAGTGTTGGGACTGTATTAGGAGGTGCTTAGAGTGTGTGGGGGTAGATGTTGCTTCGCTTGGGCCAGATGCAAGGGACCAGCGTTGCCTTTTCCACAAAGCAATACAATTTTGTGGGACAATCTGTTCTTTACCTCGAAAGTGGTGTACTTCACCAAGCCCAACTGTTTGCATGCTAGCACTGAAGGCATGACTTCGCAACTCTCCATTCAAGGATACTTGATTGAACTGTTGGCTAGCATTACCAAGAATGGTGAATGGCTTCATTCTGGCTACACTTGGCCTTTGTAGTGCAATCGAATATACTGAGTGGATTTGGAATCATGTTCTCAACCGCCATTGTCCATGTACCAACACAACTCACGGTCCCAACCTCAACTGAGGTACTGTTGGCATCTTCCCTTTTCGATTCCTTACTTTGACCAGACTGTCGACCATGTGCATCGAGGCAACCAACAATGCAGGCACTCCTAGGCTGGACAGCACCAGGGGGCAAGTTTTGCTCACCTTGCGTATCAGGGCAAAGGGCATTGGCCCCTGTCCAGCATCTGTCGCTGTGCGGTCCTTGGACAGGATTCTTGCTAGCTCGGATGCCAGAGACTGTACGCGAAGCAGAGACCCAGGATCGCTGTCGTTCCCTGGGGCGGTGGATGCATGCCCTGGGCGGGATGCGGACCTGTTTTCCGCTCTTGCATCCTGGTGCACAGCACACCAATACAAGTTCTGAGCAATCGCTTTTGCTACATTCTCGAAGTTTGAATCTCCTCATCAGGCACAGACAATTCCTTATCCCAAACCCTCCACATACAAACCTAACCTTCAATCGTCCAGAATCAAATCATTTCCAAAATGGTGCAAAACTTCAACATCAAGTAGGCGCCGTTCGACCAAAGATTTATGTGTAAACCCCTGCTGGAGCACAACTGATCGCCACTGTTTTCGACAACAAGTATGCGAAGGGTTTCACTGCGTGGGAAGAACACAGCAGCGGAAAGAGGCTCAATCGACAGGAAATGACAGTGCCCCTTGGACAGCACTTATACAAGCTTGACCTTCATGGCATAAAAGCAACACCCATCAAACAACAGATGTCTGGGTCCTCGAGTGCACGCCTTCGATCTGAGCAAACCCACAGGACGGAGCAGGGCACGGACTGGCCATTTGTGGGCCCAATAGGAGAACTACCGTCATAGAACGGAGACACGACACCTCCAGGCGAAAATACACGTGTGCCCTTGCGCCTATGGTGCTGTTGATTTATCTGTTGTTGGTGGTCCGCTCACAAGGAGTCTCGGCGCAGGAGGGGGTAGTCAAACGAACGACACCTCTGATGGATTGTCCACCTCAATTTGAGATCACACAACACAAAGAAGGAAAGAATTGCCCGGCCCAAGAGAAAAAAATTCGGCGCGGCGCCGACGCCGCGGCCGCAACACGCACCCCGGCCGCGCCTCCGCCCCGCGCCTCCCACGCCCTCTCGATCCCGGCCTCCGCCCACAGCGCCTCGAACTTCTCCGACAGCTTCTCACCCATCTTGCGCACCACGTGGCCGTGCGGGTTGTACACGCGGCAGTTAGCGAAGATCTGCCGCACGTCGTCCCGGAACTCCAGCGGGTCGGCGTACCTCTTGCCCGCGTCCCGCCCCAGGCCCAGCCGCTCCCCCACCGTGCCCAGGTCCATCGGGTGCCGCACCACCTCGTAGTAGTTCGGGCACTGCTGCAGCACCGGGTCCACGGGCTGCCGGAACGGCCGGCTGGCGCTCTGCTTCTTCAGCTTGGACAAAATCTTCCTGCACTGCGCCAGCGGGTCGTCATCCCTGACCGCCTGCCCTCCTCTGGGGACCTCCGCCCTGCCCGGGCTGGGCCTCCGGGCCCGCTTGGGCGCCTTCGCCCCTCCGGGCGCCCCCTGATTCGCCCGCTTGACCCCCCCGGGGGTCATGCTGCTCACGGACAGGCCGGAGGAGTGCACATCCGGATCCGGCGGATGTTTGGACGCCTCGGAGGCGGGTCCGGGGGGGGCCAGGCGCCGCAGGTGCCTGATGCGCGCCTCCAGCATTGTCTTCTGCGCCTCGAGCATGAGCGCCTCGTCGCGCAGGGCGTTGCGCCCGGGGGCGGCCGGGCCGCGGACGCCGTTGCAGGGGTGCATGGCGGAGGACGGGAGGGAATGGGGGGAGAGGGGGTGCGGGATGGGGTGGGGACCGCGTTGGCGAGCGGGGGGAGAGCGTAGGTCAAGGGGCGTCGCGGCCGACGGGGTCTGGGGTTTGCGACGGAGGTCCTCTGCCGCCAAGGGCGGTGTTGGCGCGGGACCCATTATGGCCCGTTATTGAGGTAATGGAAGTCGGAATGCGTTTTTCAATTTGTTGTTCTTGTGTGGTGTTTCTTTGTTTGTTTTCTTGATTCCAAAATTTTGCATCGCATTCAGTGTCCAGGGGCCTCCCCCGTCCTACCACAAGATATGCGGACCTTCTGCCACCTGGAAGGAGCGTGCAAGGCGACGTAGAAGCCCCCGAATTATTGTTGTTTGGTTTGTCGGGAGGGATGGTTGGAAAAATGCACTTTCTGTGAAGCCTTGTCCTGTTTGGGCTTGAGACGTCCCGGATCGGGGCATCTGGCAAGTCGTTAGGGCGTGAGTGGACCGGAAAAGGGGAAAGTGCGATGGCGTAACGGGACGGAAGGTAATGGCGTAATACAATTTAAGGTCAAATGGTCATTTGTTAAGATACACTCAAACTGTTCTGGAGTCTGTCCAGCGGATCGATCGGGGGGGCGAAGCCATCAACTATTGTTGCTGCAAAAAAGCGTACATTACAAACACCTGCGGACCCTTTTGCAAACTTGTTAGGGCTTTTCGGGCGCCGGTTGCTTGGGGGGAGGGGACAGCCCATGACCTGTCCATTGATCAGCTGCCACGCACTCGGGACACCAGAGGTTGGTCCGCTAGCGCCCGCCCACCCGACCCGCGACACGGCACGCCGGCAGTAGAACCGCCCCAGCGCCCCAGCCCGGAGCCTTCGCATGGACCACCGCGCTCAAGGCGTCGAGGCCAAAACGATCACATCCAGACAGAGCCAACAGCGTCCCCGCGCCTGACGCGTCGCCCGGATTGCCCCCGACACTGAAGGCGCCCCGGTGCGCCAGTCCACACCCCGCTCCAGCCCCGCGAGATGGCCAAGAGTGAGTGGTCGCCGCATCCTTTCATTTTTCTTTGACTTTGGATGATGCCCCGCTTGTGCGCCGTTTTTTGATCGGTCCCGCGTCGGTGGCGCAGAGAGGGCGCGCGGCGGCAGGAAGGCGGGTGGGAACTGCGACCCGGCGGAGGAGCATGCGGCACTTCGCGAGGAGGCGGTGGACGGGCGCCAGGACGAAGACGAGCTGTTCGATGCGCTGATCGACGGGCTGTACGAGAAGCGGTGGGGCACGCGCTTTTTGCTCTTTGCTCTTGTTGGCCCTCAGGGCCTGCTGGTGCTCTGTCGGAAACGGTTGGGTGGCTGATGAGGCGTGATGGCTTGGTCGCAGGGCCGCCACGCGCCTGAGCGCCCTTAACGGGCTCGCACGGCTGCTGGCCTCCGGTGTGCGTCTCGAGGAGTGCGTCGCGCGGTGGGTGGCCCTACCCGCACCTCCCCTCGGCGCGCACGTGGGTCGCTCGGCTCTGCGTTCCGGCCGCAGGCACCTCCGCCATCTTTCGCGGCGTGGCAACAGTGTCGCAGAAATGTGTCGAGCACGGGATTTGGGCGCCTATCGTGCGGCATGTTCTGTTGCGAAGAGTCGAGGACGCCCCGCCCGTGCCCCACCCACGTCCTGTGGCCGTGGCCCCCCGGGCAGCTCGCCTCTGGCGGGACGTGATCGGATTTCATTTGGCGTTGTCCCTCGATTGGATGGCGGGCCTGCGACTCATCATTGCGTGGCGTCTGCGCAGGGAGGAGACCCTGTCTCGATTGCTGCTCAACAGCGTCCGACGAGGCACGGGCACGGAGGCGACCTTGGCGGCTCGCGGCTTGGGTAAGCCACCCGCACCATCCACCCGCCCATGCGCCCAGCCGTCTCTTTCGCACTCCAGCGCGCTGTGCGGACTGAAAACCCCCTCTTGCGATTGCAGGCTTGCTGATCATGACCCTGGGACTCGAGGACGGGGCCGAAAGGTGCGACGCCCATGGAGGCAGCCGCTTTTGGACGGTCTCCCTCCCGCGACGGTCAAGGGCCCGGCGACTAAGATTCAATCGAGGACATTTTGCGTGTTTCCCGAATTGTTCTACGGAGTGTTTGCCGTCACACTGGCGATGAATGAGCCCTTTCGCCCTCGCCCCCCTGCTTTTCGCTCCAATCGAGGCAACGCCGATCCGTCGCGAGATGAAAAATGGCGCCGGTTAGCGCGCTCAGCGCTTTGTCGCTGGCCAAGGCTGCCTTTGCGGCATCGAGGGCAGCGTATCACACAGCAACAACCCTGCATAACGTTAATCATGTGCTTCTTTTGTCCCTGACGGTGCACCTGACTCGGAAATGTACGAGTACAACAGCAACAGCGCCCAGCACGAAGCAGCACAGACAGCCATATATTTACGACATGCTTTGGGGCTACCCCCTTTATGGTCGAAACGCCTTTCTGATTGCGTTATAAATGCACGGCGAAACACCAACAACGTCCAACAAAATTACTATATGCTGTCCACAAATACATGTTTTGTTCCCTTGCCAGTAGTTGGTTTCCATCCCTCAACGAGTCGATGTGAGCAGGACACGGTTTTGTTGCAGGGTGTGGACAGAGACGGGGGACACGCTGATGAAGTGCGCTGGCAACAAGCTAATGGCAGTGGAGCTGCGATGCAGTTCGCTGGACACATATTCTATCGCGTCTTTCATTGTGGAGAACGACCCTCTGTCTACTCTGGAGTCCATGGCAAGGCTGGCCTCGCTGTGGAATGCTGGTGAGGATGGTGGTTGAGGTACCTGCCTGAATCGTTGCATCACAGTGCCGCCCAGAATCTCCACTGATAATATAACACCCAGAATTCTGCCCCCTAGTTTCCAAGAGGGACAAGAGTCTGGCAACAGGTCGTGATCAGGCAGGGGTGGCCATCGTGTGATAATTGTAGAGCTGCTGGTGATGGTCATTGTGTTAGGAATGCAGCCCTCAGAAGCGAAACCCTTCCTGTGTGACGTGGTGTAAGGGGTTCTCCATGCTGTAAGTACTTTCCGCTGCTGATGCAGATGCATCCAAGTGCAGCAGGAAGAGACAATAAGCAACTTCTGTGCTGGACCCGATGAGCTGCTCTATCCAGTGTCCAATGGCTCACACTATTGACCTATCGACATGTGTATGGCCTGATTCCACGGCATGGGCAGTTGCCACAGCTCATTCACAGCATTTTCCTCCACTGGTTTGCACTATGAAGCTAGCTTCTCAATTCTACATCTTTACACAGCTGCAAACATGGAAAGGTTGAGCTGTGCTGTGCAGTGAACATGTTAATCCATTGCCAAGATGACGATCCAGACTTGCCTATGGGCCTCAAACACATTTACTTATGAGGGGGCGTTGTGAGGGCTGTTGCAAACTCTGTCATCCAGGCACCTATGGAAGCAACACCACACCTGTCACACCACAAGTGCAATGCTTTTGGTATATGTACAGCTACTCTGGACTGGCCTTGCCTTTCTCTCATCTATCATAACTTGTACTAGCTTCATCTGTACGATTGTTTGAGTGAGTTGTTCACTGTCGGTTCCTCCCCTGCCCTGGTTGCCTGCTGTAGCCTGAAATTTTTCTCCTATTGGAATTTTCTGACTTCTCTCAGGGGGGACGTGAACAAACATTCCAAGGAAGAACATGCTTCGAAGTATATACTACGAAGTAGTGTGGAAGTACGCTGCTCAGCGCCAGGTGCAGGGGCACTAATTTTTCACATTTGGGGTCAACTGGATTGGAACCTAAACATTTTGTGAGGCAAGCTCAGACTGCTGTGATCTGACACGATCTCAGCAGTGTGGTTAACAACAATCTGCATCGAGGCGCATGAGTGTTCCAGCTTCGCTGAAACTTGCATGCTACTGCAGATTCCCACGCTGTTCGAGAGTGTGCCATCCGTGGTTGGACACTGCTAGGCAGCACGCTCTCCGCCCACCTGATGGAAGATAGCTTCTACAGCATGGTGGAGAGGTTGACGAAGCTTCTGGAAGACCCTGCGGTGGATGTGCGTCGGGCTGCCAGCGAGGCTGTGGCTCTGTTGCACGCCTTTGGCCTGGAGCTGGAGTCTGATGACACGGACTCCAGTGACAGCGAGTCGTCGGTGGCCAGCAACAGCACAGGCTGGAGCAGGTTTTCAGGCATCGACTGTGCGATGGACAGGATGAAGGACCTGGCTGGCCCAAAGGGCCAGGTCAAGAGGAGGTCAAAGAGGGACAGAGCAGCCATGAGGTCGACCTTCAGGGAGGTCTGCCAGTTTGTTGAGGTGAGAATTAAGGCGAGTGTTGTTGGGGGTGGGGTGGGGTGGGGTGGGGTGGGGTGGGGTGGTCCGTTGTTGTCGATTTCGGTTCTTTAGAATTGTAATCGAAAGGTGCAGCTGGGAATCTCGCTTGCAGTTGCCGTTGTTGTGGAAATAGCTACAGCAGTGCGTTGCTGAGTTGGCCATGTACTTCTGGGGCTGCGTTGGACTCCTTGCTAGTTTGACACTTCCAGGGTTCAGTTTCGGATTCCTGTAAATCGAGATCGCTGAAGGTTTTTTCCAGTTCTGATAGAGTGCTTAAATACCCTCACAACTCAGAATGCTTGGTGGAAAGTGTTGGTGCGTGGGGGTTTGCTTGCCATAGGCAGGTTTCCATATTCGAAGGTAGCGCTGGATGTTTACATTTGCCATCAACACGACACACACCCCTTTCACTAATCTGGCAACATCAGGCCTTTTCCCTGGATACAACAGGTTACCAGGCAGTATTTGTGTACCCATTCTCGGTTCCAAAGGGGGATGATATGCATGTGTATCGATGTGATGGAGCAGGATGGCATTGTGGCAGAGGCTAGAATCAAGCTGAAGGCCACAGTGCTGGTGGTGGACGACCTGCCTGGCCTTGTGCAGCTCAGCTTCATCCGCAAGATTCTGGCCGGGGGTTTTCAGGCCCACCTGAATGGCAACGAGCTGCTGCATCGGGTATTTGGCTACTCGCCTGGCAATGGGGCTGCTCCGAAAATGACAAAGTCAGAGAAAAGGATGTTCAAGTCTCCGCAGTCGGATGCCACGAGGATGAGGACGCAGTTGCGGAGGAACGATTATGACGCCAAAATGCAGATGCTGGAGGGCTGACATTGCCTGCAGTTGCCTCCACGGGAGCTGGAGATTGCACCTTCGCACTGTGCATGGTTGGTTGTTGTGGGCAGTCCTCAAGTGGTGTGAATCCTTTGGTTGCTTTTGTGTTAGCAGGGAAGAACAGTGTTGCTGCATGCAAGTGGCAATAGCGGGCATTTCTGCATCCCATATGGAGGGTGAAAAAGGTTTGTGATGTTCAAAAACTGGGGCAGATGTGATGATAACGGGGCATGACGATCGATGCCCATTGATTTCCCTGGGCTACTTGGGATGCATATGGGAACTGTGCGGGGCGAAAGAATGACTGGCACATTCTTTGTTTGTGCATGTGGATTGCTTTGATTGGAACGATGAGTCTTGTTGGAAAAGGGAGTGACGACCGTTCACTCTCGAATTCATAAAATTTGGGGAGTGGGAATTTTTGTTGGTAGCATTTGTTTGATTCTTGTCGGTTCTGGACTTGCACTGCTTTGTCCTGTTCCCATTCTAGCTTTTATGGTACGTTGATAAATATGCAGAAGAGTGGAGGGCGTCGCGGTATTGTGTATCAAGTGTGGGTGTGAGGCTCTTGGGGCGTAATTGGCAGAGAGGGTGATAGCTTGCCCACTGCGTCCAGGGGAGAACTACATCGCCTCCTGATGGCTGCGGAGTAGCCCTTGCATGGGACCTTGGTTGGTGGCTTGCGTGAAGAGGTGAGTCAGGCTTTGTAAGCTTTACAACAAACCGCGGGGAACGTGTCCCCTGGTGAAGAGGATTCCCCCGTGCAGCGGCGGCCTTAAGCCTTCTGTAGTGGGGACCATCCGCAGAGAAGATTTTGCTTTCTGTGCCAATTGTTGTCTTGGGAAAGTGCCAGGGCAACCCACATCCTCCGTTTGTGGCTTTGTGGAGGACATGGTGCGCCTGGCTCGTTTGGCCATGCTTAACAGGCAGGCTGTGCCGTTGGACTGTGTGTGGGGGCTTTGTATATTGCAACCAGGCAGTGGAACGCAAGCTTCCAGAGCCCAAGATGGGCCTTTCAGGGGCAACAGCATGTGTGTGCAGCACACATGCACGACTGCGCGACCTGTACCCCACGATCTGTTGTTTGGCAGCCGGGCGTTGTGAGGTTTTGTGCACCATAGGAGTGGATGTACCTCTCGGGCCTGGCTTGCCGGTCGTGTGGCAGTGGGGACGTTTGTGTTGATGTGTAAGGGCACTTGCCCGCGGCAAGGGGAAGTGCAGCCTCGTTTCATGTGCATTCCATCTTGTAATAAATTGTTTCCGCAGCTTGGTGCTGTGAGGAGCGAGCCTGACCCCGGCCGGAAGGCACTTCACGCGAAAGGCCGTTTTCAGCCGCGTGCAGAAGATGCATTCCCCACAAGAAGCATACCACGCGCCCACCATGATCGCACATGTCGTATCGGACAATACTCCCTTGGAGACGGCACCTACTTGTTGCAAAAGCAATTACAAGGTTCATGCGCATGCAGATACACCGCGACCCAGGCTGCAGACCCAAATCAGAGAGCCCTCAGAGTGAGGCCATCCGTCATGACCGGCCGCCCCAGTGCATCCCAGATGTACTGCGTGGTGGGCAGCAGTGGCGGCGGGGGAGTCGGGGGTGGCGAAGGCAACGGCTTGTGCACAGGCGGCCGGAACAGGTCCCCGGAAACGCCCAGGGCCGCCCGCGCGGCCTGGCGCCCTGTGACGTCCAGGCATCCGCCCGACCGGCCATCGTCGATGATCCTTGAGGCCAGACGCTTGAAGGCCTGCACCAGGCCAGACTCCCGCAGGCGGTCCCCAGGGCCCGGGGGGGCGCAGGATGGGCTGACAATGTGGTTGGTGAGGCACGAGGCCAGCAGGGCGGCGGGGTGCCTAGAGGGTGGCGCGGGGCTTAGCGGCGGTGTTTTGCGCAAATCCGTTGGGCTTACACATACATACAAGGTATCGTTTGTGCTATATACACTGATATAATTTGTGATATATATGCTGGTATAGTTCGTTCGCGTAGCGTCTCTGACATGCATGGTATCGTGATATTCCTGGCGCGCCTTGAAGTATTTACCTTTGGAACGACGGGCGGATGGATGTTGCGACAGCAACTCAATCAACTGTGCAGCTAATTTCTCATTCGATCGACTGTTATTCATTGAGCCAGTCATTCAATCAATCAATTAGTCGAGCGCAGTTACAGATGGAGATCTCCCCCAAAGGGTGCCAAGGGACCTTCGCTTGTCCGATTTCAAGGGCCATGGCAAAAGCTACTGTTTTTCAACAGCAAATGTCACTTTTGCTCAAACTCAATTACTTTTTTAAGCTAACGTTGATTAACGAGCTGTTCAATGAACGACCAAAAAAGAACGGGAAAAATCGCGCGATTTTATGTTGACACAGCCCCAGGTTGGGTTCGTACCTGACATCGAGGGGATAAGGCAGATCCGGTGCACTGTCGATCAGGCGGGCCAACAGCGATAGAAGCTGCCCAGAAGCTTCCAGCAGTTCTGCCGCGACGTCGCCGTCCTTGGCCAGCTCGTACAGGCAGTACAAAGCGGCAGACCGGACGCATGCCGGAAAAGGCGGCTGCTGACCCTCCTCCAGGATTGGGGCCTTGGGGTCCGCTGCCTTCTGGAAGACATTCGCCGTTGTTTGTCATTAACTGCACGTTCCCTTCAGTCGACTTGTTGTCAGCAATTTGCCGCAGTGTCACAAGTGCAACCGTGGGCAGCTGATGCTGGCATTGATGGTGGATTATGCACTGGGAAGATTCTCAAACTTCGAACGCCGTTTCGCATCTTATAAAGTGCATTATTATGTATTGTGCTTTTACTTATGAATTCACCATTTGCTGCCTCGAAACATTGCTTGTCTGATCGAGTACTTTTGTCTGGCGTAAACGGATTTCTCAACGGTACTTTTTTGGGCCATGGCGCCATGCTGCTCCTGAAAATGAGAGTTGAATTTGAGCATCAAAGCCATTCCTGCGGAGAGGCAGCAGGCGTCCCCACTGCAATGAAACAGCGTCTACAACAGCAATAGCAACAATGGTGGCAGCAAGAAGATCTAGTTCCTTCCTCGAGAGAGCCCAAATTTCTGTCCATCGCCTCCTTCGCGGCCTGCGGAAATCTTCGGACGCACGCCGTGCGACAAACCAAGATGATTCTGACTTAAATCAATCAACAGTTTAATTTAATTCATTTAATTTAATTTAATTCAACTGAACGATAGCAACCTGTTATGTGTGCAGATGGACGAATAGCGCCATGCGAAAAATGCTGTGGAGGGATTTAGCCCGACGTCGTGCTCAAGGTGCATGAGCATCGTGCTGCCAAATTCTTGTCGAGTGAAACGCAAGCACTCAGACTGCGTCCTTGCGTCGCTGCTTCTAGCAATATACCTAGACATATCCATTATAATGCATGTAATGCTGCCTGGGCATTGCAGGACGCAATGATGCTACTGCGCAACGAAATACCACAACACAAATATATGTACCGTAGTGTATAATAACGTCAACCTTGCGCGGCTGTCGCAATGCAAAGTGAGTTCCGCTGCCCCGTACCGCGGGAGCTCCTTTTGGCGCCCCTTTTGCCCCCTTGCCGCCCTTCCCTTTCTCCGGCGTCTTCGGCACCTCAGGCTCCTGGGCACCCGGTGTCGAGGCCGGCTCCAGCGGCGCGTCTTCCAACAGGTGCAAGAGGGTGTGCTGCCACGACGGCGCCTCGCCGCGCTCTTCGCCGATCACCGCCGTTCGGTGGCAGGAGTGCTTCAGGAGCGCTTGCAGGGCGCGGAGCGCGGCGGTTTGGATGCGTGGGGATGCAGCCCTTGCGGAAGGGAGAGGAAACTTCGGCGGTTCCAGGGGGGTCTCCTGGTCGTCCTGCGATGGGTTTGTGTTCACACTGGTCGACCCTCCTTGGGAAATGAGTCTGCATGCTTAAAGATCCAGGAGCTGGTCATATTGCAGTAATGCTATTGTTACAGTGCTCTCACCTGCTTTATTATAAAGCAGGTGAAAGCGAATCAGCGCGCGAAATACCACTTTCGAATGGCTTTGTCTCCACCGCCAAGCGTGTGGGGGAGCGTGCACGCTCGCCGCTGAATAGTAAGTGAATTGTGCGAAAAAGACTTTCAGCGAACGGCACGGCCCAGGTAAAAAAGATTCGTGAGAAAGGCACTTGTGATGCACCGCCTGCTGTCAATGCCAACGCGATGTTGCTTTACATTGGCCTCAACTTCACAGTAATTGAATGTCAATAGAATAATCAAATATTCCCAATCATGTTGTCCAAATTAGCTCTCACCAATGCGTTTGATACACCTGGACACAATAAGGAAACAGAATTTTTGGCGTTATGGTGCTTTAAAATTTCAGTATTATTTGGTTTCAATTTAAACCAAGCTCCAGTCTCGCTTTTGTAGTAATTCTCAGTAAAATGTTCTATTTTCATATAACGCATATAGTGCTATCATCAACTGTGTTGCGGGACGAGCGGTGGGCGTGCGCGCACGTATGCCGTTGACTCGTTTCTCCACTGCTCGGCGCAGCATCAGACCAGAATGGCACAGCACTTCGCTGGGCGCAGCCAGCAAATAAGGAATCCACCAAAGACACCATTCAACGAATGGCGCTATCCGATATGCATTGATCCACGGGCGTGTGCTCAGCACTGCCTGATAGCAACGCGCACTGCTGTTGTTATTATTGCCAATAGTCGATAATAATCAACAACATTATGACTCCATGGCATCGTCGCCACCGCTGCGCTGTCTCACGCGAATGGAACGACTCGCAGGCTATATGCTTCCAATGACCCCGGCCCGACCCCAGCCATAAACTGCGAGCATCGACTCCAAATCTGAAGCACACCTGAATTCACACCCGAATCACGTGCGCCATGTGCTGTGCTCCCACCCCTGCTCCCTGTGACCACAAGTCGCTTCCCGACGCGACGATGGCCCGCAGTCCACAAATGTCCGACACCCTCCATTTACCGACAAGAAGTCTCGAATTCCAAGAAGGTCAT